TTTATTTTTTTTTTCTCAGTGTATAACCTTTTAACACACAGCTTTCTTTTGAGTTTGATGAGAATAACACAGGAATTCAAGTTTCTTTGCTGTAAGGACAGGCTAATAAGAATGTAGCCTGATGAAGATGTACCACTGTTGGTATTCTGAGTGTGCAGCTTTGGATACACTCACATGAGCTCGGTTGCTGAGCAACAGCACTCCATCCATCTCTTGTTTTGATTACATTTTGCCACTGATATCAGTCCACGCAAGGCTGATGATGATGCGATCAACACTAACATGCCTCACAACAGATAATTAAAGAGTAATTAAGCATACGCTTGAAAGGCTTTTAAAACATGGAATCTGGGCCTGTTCTGACTCTTGCAATTCCATACCAATTTTTGTGATGCTTATGTGTTGTAAATCAACCATACACATTTGTTCCGGATGACTGGAATAGCTAGAAAAGTCATGTACATGTATTGGTTATAAAAATGGAATCACTGAAAAACATGAAGCTCTTAAAACCTCTGGAATCTTGAAAATGAATTATCATTTTAGTGACTTGTTTCAATTTACATAAACTAGGAGTGCCCATAGATTAAAATAAGACAAAAGTACCCCAGTTGAAACGTAATATATTTAACATATTTTACTGACATATCGCTCAAGACTTACTGATATAGCAATTATAATGAAACTTTATGTGGAGTACTACTTGCACATTTCTAAATATTAAGCCTAAAATGTGTTTTAATATTGCTGAGGATTGTATGGTCTTTCAATAATATTGTGTTTAAATGCAAGATATTTAAAGTGCGCCTAAAGTATACTTGCAATAGTTCCACTTTAGCACAATCAAATATACTTCAGTATATTTTTAGTTGGACTTCAGCACTACTTCCACACTATTAAAGTGCATTAAGTACAAAATAAATTGCTCCAATTTAGCAGACTTTAAGTATACCAAAAGTACAATTGCAGGGTATTTTTATTAAGCGCATACATATAAATGTATTTGTAGTATACTTAGCATGAAATAAATGTATTTCAAATATGTTTTAGTATATTGATTTTTCACTAGAGTAGGCCTTTCAATATTGTAGGCAAAAACATTGACAACCGTTGGTAAAAAGATTTTTCTGAGCAAGTTAGTTAACTGTTAACATGTTTACAGCTAGCTACATGAATACTATCTCATCCAGTTTAATGACACAGTCGTTTGAAGGTAACTCCTTGCCCATTTTATGCAACCGTGCATGTTATGCATATTTGCTTATTGCCATTAATCTGTATGACTTGTGTGCTACATCCAAGCCATTTTAGTTAGATTTGGCACTTTTGCCTTAATATTAATGGTGGAGAGAGGCGGGAAGCAACAGAAGAATATAGAGAGAAACAGGATTGGGAAAGGACCTCAAGCTGGGCCTTGAACTTGATCCAGGACATTTGGATGGCTTTGTGTGAGGATCAAACGCAAATCTGTTATTTACTTAGAATCTTGAATTTCACTCATTCAAATCTGCCAGGTTCAATTAAGACTTCTTTGTTTACGTGCACTCAGAAGTAGGATCTAAACTTGTTCACACATGGATGGAAGATATTGATATGCATGCAATTTACAAGCTTTTATCATTGTATTGCAGTCATGGTCAGAGGGACACCGCACAGATACTGCTCCTCAGGGGAGCCAAGTATTTGCCGGACAAGAATGGGGTTACACCGCTTGACCTGTGTGTGCAGGTGAATGCAGCACACCTATATTATATTCACTCATATGCAGGATACTAAAGCTCATGTGTAACTATTTTTAGGGTGGTTATGGCGAAACATGTGAAATTCTCATCCAGCACCATAGCAGACTGTTTCAGACACTGATACAGATGACTCAGAATGATGACATTAAAGAGAACATGGTACGCCTCTTTTTCTTATATGTGTTTCTTGATGAGTTTATGTACATTAGTGTCTTTTTACATGTTGAATATTATTTTTTTAAGCTAAGGCAGGTTCTAGAACATGTTTCACAGCAGAGTGACTCCAGCTACCAAATGATCTTGACCAGCTTGGCTGACGTGGCCACCACAAACGGACATAAACTGCTGAGGTGTGTCTCAGGTTATCCACATTTCTTGAGAAATTGTATTATGTAGAACTTTACGCAAATCTATTTCTCATTCTGTTTCCATTAGTTTGTCCAGTAACTTTGAGGTCCAAACAAAGAGTTTGCTCCGAATTGTCCGGATCTTCTGTCATGTGTTCTGTCTTGGACCGTCCTGCCCAAACAACGGGAATGACATGGGTTACAACGGAAACAAGACACCACGTAACCAGGTTTTTAAGGTCAGTGGGCACTGCATTGCCAACAAAGCTTACTTAAATGTTAATTACGAATGTTTAAATAATGAAAGAAACTGATGTTCTGTTTCACCAAATGTTTGATTCTTGTAGCATACATTGATCAATGGACAGTGTGACAGGTTGAGCACCATAGACTGAAAGCTTAAAACACAGATGTGAATCTGTGATCTTGAACAGTGATATTAAATTCCTTCCTTGATTTGCGTTGTTCACTAGCTTGTAGGGGTAAAACAGATCATAGTTGATCGTTTGCACGTGTTTCTAAGTCTAGCCGATTTAAACATTCAAGTGTTTTAAACCATTCACATGCATTCGGAGCTGCGCGCACTCATTCAAAGCGCGCACAGAGAGTCGCGTTTCAGACAATGCGCATACACAGAATTTATTCCTCTTTCGCATATCCTTGCATCTGAATGAACGCATACACACAAAATTATCTCAAAATAACTGTCTCGGCAAGTATTCTCGTAAACACAGTCGGTTATGTCTTAAGTGAACGTAAACAGTGGTGAAAGAAAACTCAAGTGCATCGTTATATTGGATCCGTGCATTCGGTCTTAAAGGGGCAGCAGCCTATAAATACCTGCTGTTCCATAAGCGCCACCTGCTGTCAGACAGTGACATTTGCATCTCATTCACAAAGCTAAAATCAGACCATTCTGTTTTTGCTTCCAATTTCGAAATTATAGAATCTAATTGCAATCTAAATAACATGTATTTAGCATCTTTGTTTTGATCGTGATTAAAATGCAGTGGTTGCCTCTGATTTTAAATGGGAAAAGCACAGCCAAACACTTAGTTTGTTTATATGAAGAGATTTATTTTATTTGTATTATTTAATTATTTGATTTGGGATTTGTTTAAAAATTTCAAGTTAGTTTTATTATTTGACATATTTCAATTTCACAAAGAAATGTGCAGCATTTTGTTGGAGAAATAATAAAAGGACACCATTTCATTTATAATTTGTCTTAAATCTCATTTTGTTAAAAATAAAAATAGTGAGAAAATTGTATTGTGAAATCAGTATCGTGAATCGCATCGTGAGTTGAGTGAATCGTTACATCCCTATATGCTACTAGTTTTTGCTGTGGTATCAAAGAAGTATTCTGTTATTTAAATAATAAAGAACCATATTTTATTTGCTCATCTGCAAAATGATCCGATCTGTTACTCAAAATCTGATATGATAATGCAATATGATTCGAGCTGTGGGTTTTGTGATCCATTGCACCCCTACTCTCTTGACTTGTTATTTGAAGAAAAACAGCAATCACTGAAGTTTTTAATCATGCTGATTTGTCCGCAGTGAGGTTCAGCCGATATCTTTTTTTTTTTATTCGGGCTACTTAAATTATTATTTTTTTTTTACCAAAATCTGAAGAATGTCTGCCCGAAGGGCTACCAGCAATTTTGAAATTTTGCGAGCCCTGTGATACAAGGATTCAAATAAGTCCAATAAAGTCTAGACTAGAGAGTGTATTTCTAAATATCAATATATCACATCACCCTATTGTCAAACACTGCACAGATGAGCATGCAGGCTGCTGTAGAATGGAATAGTCTCTCGCAATTGGAAATAGCAAAGCTGTCTCACAAAGCTCTGGTCTTGTACAGCACATCTGTGTTGAAGTGATGTTCTCTCGTGTTGCTGTCTAGCCTCTGGAGCTGTTGTGGCACTCTCTTGATGAATGGCTGGTCCTCATCTCCACCGAGCAGGATAAGGAGAGCACAGACGCAACAACCTCATCCTCAGGAAATGACATTGCGTCACTCTTCCTGAAAAAGCAGGAGGTCGACCCTTCTTTTTCCAGTGAAAATCCCCCTCTGTTGCTGGACGCCAAGTCAGTGATGAAGACGCCGGAGGGCTACGCCGATGGTCAGGATGTCATCTCTATGATAGCCAATCGCCTGAGCGCTGTGATCCAGGCTTTCTACATGTGCTGTTCCTGTCAGATGCCACACAGGTAAGACTGACCTCAAACTTAAACGTTTCGGTAACACTTCAGTATAGGGACCAATTCTCACTATTAACTAGTTCCTTATTAACATGTGTAAGGGAAACAGGTCAATTTAGCTCAAAGGGAATTATTTTTGATTTGATAGGGAATTTGAACAGAATCTTTACGGCTGATCACTGAGTCGGCCAGCGATTCATTGAACGAGCCGTACAACATCAAATCTGCATGGATATTAATATCCAAAATATAGTGAAAACCCTATTTATTAGCACAGTAACAAGGTCGGCAGTTTAAGACATTAACTTGTAAGCACAAAACACAAGATACTTCTCTTTTTAATATAAATAAGGCTTTATTGGATAAATCTAAGACATGTAAACTAATTTAACACAAACATATGCACTCATACATTCACACAAGTTGCATAAAGAGAACAAGTGAGGAAAGAATGAGTTTAAGAGAGTGAAAATGTGAAATCCCAAGTTTATAGCAATATGTGCAATTGCATAGACCTGAACAACCATCAATCATTTAAGTAACCCTCGCATTGAGTTCCTCAGTGAGGCTAAAACTTATATTAAATGCACCAGCTCAGCTAGAATCTGGAGGTACTTGCGTTGCTTGTTTAGGGGTTCCCTTGTTGTTGTCGTAGTTGCAGAACGGGGTTTCCCAAAGTTGCTGATTGGCTGGAAGTTCAGTAGTCGTTGAAGTGATGTCTTGGGAAGCCAATGGTTGGGCGTTGGCTGAAGATGCGGAGTTGTGGGCTGGTTGAAGTTTTGAGGCGGTCACATACTCGAGGTGAACTCAAAGGCACGGCGTTGCGGCAAAACTTAACTCAGAACACGAAACTCTCAACGGAAAAGAAACTAAAGTAAAAGAAATAAAAGAGTAAAGTTTGACGAGACTAGGTGGCGTTTCTCCTCATGGTTTTAGAGGAGCTGCTGGTATGCAAGCCAGAGCACGCTGGAACGGCGCTCGAAGAATTCAAGGGCAAAAAGCATGGCTAAAAGCCCTAATGCAAAAAGCAATGACTAAAAGCATATGTCCTGAGTGTATAAACTGGGCTGTTAGACACATCCCAAATGGTGTCTTGACCAATTAGGCATTGTCTTTGCTCGGGGTGTTGCTATGTTTCTCCTCCCAACACATAAATCAACATGTTATCTTATCAGTCACATGGTCCGAATTTTCCCGCTCTTGCAGCGTATAATTTGTGCATGATTTCTATAACAAGAATATAATACATTTTACAAAGTACTGATTGATAGAAACGTGTAAAGCATGACAATTCAAACTCATACATACCCAACATGAATATAATCTTATAAACTATTCAATAGTTATTCAAAATACATGATAGTCAAATGTGTGGGTTACATAAATAATATGGAGTTATGCATAGAAATGATTAGTTGCTCATAAGTCCTTTTTAGCATCATTTAGGTGCATATATACATGGAAAGGCAGTTTCTGTGCAATTCTGTGAACGTGAGAATGTGTTCTGTGAGGAACAAAGAGGTTAAAGGTCTCAAAAGGAATCTCAGTCTGGTTCTTGTCCTGGGTGGGGGAAACCACCCAACGAAGTCTTTAGCTCCTGGTTTCTATCATGAATTTACATGTGATTGTCTTGCTGTGCTTCTCTTTGACCATTAATCTTGGTTACTTGCCCCAAATTTGACAAACTCCTTCCTGAGTTGGAATTATCAATTATTCAGTTCTTTTGTTTTAATGCTGTGAGCTGCTCAAAGCTGCTAGTTGGTGGACGTGCTTCAGACTGGCTGGCGCTAGGGTGTCGTGGACAGATTTATGATGTTGTCTTGTTATCCTGGGCCTCTTTGTGGAATTTGGCTCTTTGGGTTGTTCCAACACCAATCTGATCGAATCTTAAATTGTCTGATTCTCTCTGATACCCTACACATGCATATTACTACCATATTTGCTGTTTAAGAGTACTTATAAAGCACATATTCTGCATGACCATATTCTACATCTTAATCCTACCCAATACTTAAACTGAACTATCTTACTAACTATTAATAAGCAGTAATTAGGAGGTTATTTAGGCAAAAGTCGTAATTAATAGTTAGTTAATAGTGAGAACTGGACCTTCAAATAAAGTGTGACCAAAGTTTATTTGCACTTCACACAGACAAGTTTAGAAACTAAACTGCAGAGAACAGCTTGTTCAGAAATCTTCAAACTTTTGAGATCTCGACCATGGACCATTGCTGAGGTTATGGGTTTGATTGTCAGCGGGAACACACATGGTGACAAAATGAATGGCTTGAATACACTGTAGGCCGCTTTGTATAAAAGTATTGATAAAAGCATGTGAACTTTATAAGTGGAGCTAAAAGCTAGAGAAGTGTGGAATGTGACCCCTGTAAAGTTCATGGGAAGTACTGGAGAACCAAGATGAGTGTTTTAATAGACGTGTGCTCATGAGCTCATTCGGCGTGAGTGTTCATAATGTCTCTTCACCCCGACCTCACTGCCTCTCTACTGATAATGTTATTAGACCATTAAATCACTCTTTAATTAATGCATAATTTATAGACTCTCATCGGCAAGTCTGAGACCCTGCACACTCTTATTTCATTTTAATTTTTGTTCTCTGATATCTAGCATGACCTCCCCTCGATTCATCGAGTTTGTCTGTAAGCATGATGAAGTGCTCAAGTGTTTTGTGACAAGGTAAGTCAAGGGCATTTATTCATGATAGTTTTTAAAATAATTTCTTAAAGGAATATATATACTGTATGTGTGTGACCCTGGACCACAAAACCAGTCTTAAAGGGATAGTTCACCCAAAAATGAAAATTTGATGTTTATCTGCTTACCCCCA